ATGATCATTTAGCAAAAATCAGTGTCACTTCTCATTATAAAGCTTTCTATTCTAAGTCTTTCCTCCATTGAGTTTCAGAGAGATATGACACCTGAGGTATATAATGCCATTTTGCTTCTTCCTAAGTGTTTGAATACTAGTTGAGAAGGTCCTTTGTTAAACAAAAGAAAGCAGCTGGTTTTGTCAGAGAGATATACCCCATCCCGAGTAAATTCCATGCCCAGTTACATCTTTGTGGTTAAAAATTACCTGCTTGCATTTCTCAAGGTCATTTTTAAGAAGATAATAGACAAAATGGACACTGTAAGAATGCTGCAAATCACGCTGTGTATTTCCCATGATTCTCCAACATATTCAAACTAGTAAAGTATACTTAAAATATTACATGTATCAACAGCAGCCCAATCTTAAAAAGGGGAGGAGAGCAGGGAGAAAAACCAAAAGGGTGACATATACAGAACCAGCAGGTGTGTGGGAAGAGGCAGAAGGTGGTCCTTGGGAATCAGGCCAGGACTCAGGGTCTCAGTACCAATGACCCCAGGACAGCCTGGATGACCTCAAACACCCTACCCTTCCCCTTCCCTGGTGCCCTCTCACCATTTCCACCTCTGCCTTAGCCTCACAGCAGAAGAATCTTAGAGACCTTCCTAACTTGCTCTAAGGTGACAAGGCTCTGGCCTTCTAACCTAGAGTAAAAAGATAAGAGAGGATGTTTCAACCAATGAGCAAGCTCTTCTCCCTTCTTTCCACAGTAATCACTGTGGTACTGATCGGTCATCCTCTTTGCTTTCTTGATTGTGAAGAAACTTCTGATGGTTGAGGTAAATAGTAGCTATAATTGCATTTGATGCAGATTAGCATGGCTTTATGACATCAGACCACCCTTACTTAAGTACTATCCGTTACCTTTTTCTTTTACAGATCCTTCTAGGTGTGAATTTGCTGCCTTTGAGCAAGCTGGTTCATATCCATACTTTCTACCATTTCATCCCAAAACAAACAAAATATTTCATTATATTTATTGTTTTCCTTTCTGAATAACAAGTGCATGGTCTGCTTCATTTATTTATATTATAATCTCTGTTTACATTCAAAAAGGATCTGCAGTGATTTTTTTCTCTAGTTCAATCCCAGACACCACATCAAAAATTGCTTTTCCGGAGAAATCTGCTCCTTCAATTGGCCCAGAATCCCTTTGACCAAATCCCTCAGAATTAATTTTCTCCTTTTGTTTAGCTGCAGCCCTTCTGAGTGTCTAAATCTCCCCTCTTTATGCACACCACCACTCGCTGCCTGAACTGACCAGTCTTCTGTCTTCTTAACATCTTATTGAGTTTTGGGTCTATACCAAACAGTTAAGCTCTTGATTTTAATGATTACAAGTACGCTGGCCTGGTCTATCATATGACATAGTGAGCCTAGTATACAAAACAACAACAAAAAAGGGGGTTAATAAATACTAATTTTTAAATCTCTTTTTTAAATGTCTTATTGTTTATGTTACTACAGTTGTCCCATTTTCCCCCTTCACGCCCCTCCACTCAGTCCGCTCCCCACTCTCACAGTCAGTCCTCACACTGTTGTCCATGTCCATGGGTCCTTCAGGTATGTTCCTTGACTAGTCCCTTCACCTTAGAGAGGGGCAGAAAAGAATGTATCCGATGGATTGATTTAGCTATTTTATTTCACGTATTTGTGTTTTTAAAAGCTTATTTTAATTACATAGAATCAGTGCTTATATTCTCTGGCCATAACAAATAGTTGGGTTTTATTTACTTTCTCTTTTGAGAAGCATTTTCTAAATCCTGATTGACAGATATTAAAATAAAGTAAAAAAGCTTTTGGGAAACTGCTTATATGTGTGTGTGTGTTTTAGGGGTATATGTGTGTTTTAGACTTCTCCAGGGCCTGCTGAATAACCAGGGCAAAGGGAAAGATGTTTATAAAGCAGGGCTGGGCACTCAGTGTGAACTGTGACTAACACAGAAATTGATTCATGTGCACACAGCATTACACACACAAAAACGATCTCCCAATCCTACTGCCATATCTTTGCAGTAAGAAAGTTTTCAAGCCTTTCTTGCTCACCTTGTAAATTCCTTTCATAATCAGATTATAAATGAACATAATCAGACTGTAGCTTAGTTCCCCCAGTGGACTACAAAAAGCCACCATGTTTCATACAGATACAGCATTCCAGTTCTCAGGTAAAATATATTTTACTATAAATTAGACTGTCATTATGATGCCAAAACCTTGTGGAAATTTTAGTTATGGCAAATTAGCCCAACTGCTGATCACTCATAAGTGCTGACAAGAACAAGTAAGTGGGCCTTCTAAGCAGGGGACCGGAGCCTGGCATGGGGTCACCAAAGCAGTGCCAGTCAGCATAGCCTGCTGCCACTCTTACCGGCCTTTCCTTGGCTAATTCCTCAGCAACTTCTATATCCGTATTGACACATGAATGTTTTCCCACAAAACAGTGATGATTTTCCTAAATCATTCTTCAAGATATAATGTCTCCCCAAATACTTCCAAAGCCCCCTTGAGTCTGGATTCCAATACCTGAGCACTTCGGAGCCCTGTTTCTAGGACTAAACTCTCAGAGAGCTGAGGACCCCAGAGTCCCATAGTGAGCAGGGGGTAGTTGGAGCTGTACTGCTGTAGCTGAGTAGCTTCTGCAATAATATGATCAAAAGATGTCCTTCTTCCCCCCCACCCCTAGCAATGAACTCTTAGGAGAATTCTACATAGGTAAGGTAGGGAAAATGTAGCATTCAGCTAATATTTACTAAAAGCCTGCTTTGTGCTGAGACACAAAATAGAGCAGCTCCTGGTTATATTCTAATGTTGGCAGGGCAGGTAGGGAGTTAGAAAATAAATACATTAAAATTTTATTAAGTATCATGTGTTTAGTACTGTGAAGATAATCAAATGGGAAAATGATGAAGAGAGAATAAGACCACTATGGATAAGAAGGCCAGAAAATAACTTCTTGAATGGAGACCTCTAAGGTTCAACCTGAATAATGATGATCTGGGGGCTGCACATGTGACAGAAAGCCAGATGGCCCGTGTGACTGGAGGGCAGTGAGTTTCGTGGAAGGTGGTGTGAAATATAGGCAGGAACTAAATGACATAGGCCCTCAGAGACAAAAGCGAGGAATTTGGATTTATTTCCATTTCAAGTCTATTAGAAGGTGAAGCAAAGTAGCAACAGTCCAATCTCCATTTTTAAAACCATAAACTCCGGTTGCTATGCTGGCATGAATTTTAACATGGTAAATGTGAAAAAGCGAGTTCAAGGTTAAGAGGCTATATCCATGGCTCTGGCAAGCAATGAGGGCTTGGGTTGTTGTGGGAAAATGAGGCTGAGGAAAGAGGACCAAAAGGACATAATCTTGTTTGGGCAGAGACAACAAGACTAGCTGGGGGACTGAGGATTGGATGGCTGTTTCAGTTTTGACAGGCGATTGGGTGGTTTGAGGTTCCATTTAATTAGAGGTGATAGACCATGTAGAAGGAACAGATTTGAGAAGAAAAGAGGAAGCTAGGGAAATGAAGGTTCCTTTTTGGCAAATTTAAATCTTAATAGGCTCTTAAACATCCAGATGTAGTAATTTTCAGACCAGACCACTGAAAATATGAGTCTGATTTTCAAGATAGACATCAGGGCTGTCAATGTAAATTAGGTTATCATCAGCATATGTGAAACCAGAAAAGACACCGACATTCGGCCTGCCTGTCACTACCAAACCTAATAAGCAATGACAGCAACTGTATCTTTATGGGCACTTTATTCAGATGGCGATCTGAGGAGATGGTGGCTTCATACCCTAATAGACCATCTTCCCTTTTCTTTCCAGGCCAGACTTTTCATAACAGGGAATAAATAATGTGAGTGAAGGGTTTTGAAATTCAGGGAGGATTAGGTAGAAGAAACTGCAACATTCCTGTCCTGGGCAGTTAGCTGTTCCCAGGGGCGGGTGGTCATCTGCTGTGGGTGGTCATTTGTTTCTCCCTGAAACACAGTGGCCTGGATGCCTCCACTTGTCCCCAGGCGGTAATCTTTAGTGGTGCCCCAAGAGGTCGGCTATTTTCCCAGGAGCCAAGATGGGCCTTATCTATCTGTAGTTTCTGAGACAAAAGTTTTAACATACATATTACTTGCTCAGCTTGTAACTTTTTACCTTAAACTAAACTTTTCTGACTCTTGGACAGTAGTTTTAAGCCACAAGACTGGATAAAATCACGTAGGAAAAGGGTTTACATGGAGAAGATAAGAAGACTCCAGTTTGAGAGGTAATTATCTCAAGATTTAGAAATTAGTTTTAAAAAAAGGAGCCAGAAATAAAATAGCAAAGTAGCCAATGAGGTAAAAGCACCACTGAGGAAATTCTGTAATAAATACTGAAGCCAACAAAACATGTTTCAAAGAGAGAAAAGTCAACTAACCAAATACAAATGAGAGATTGAACAAGATTATCATGTCTGGATTTCATAAGTGAAGGTTAATGGGACCTTGGAGAATTTTTTAAGTGATTATACCTGATAAAGTAATGCAATGTTCCAATATTTTCTACTTAAATTTTATATCTAATCCAATGTTGAAAAAATTAAGTAGAAAAGTGTGTTTTTCAGACTATAAAATTCAGCATAGAAATATTTATGATTAAATAACTGTAAAGTACTATACCATGTTATAGAAAGGACAAATTGAAGAGCTATCATTAAATCATCTGGTTTAAAGTATTTTCCAATTAAAAATATTTCTAAATGTTAGAATTAATTTTACAATGCTAGGTTAAAAGGTAGTTTTTATATTCATTTATTTGTAACTTCTGGTTTATTAAAATTTTAAGCCGTGTATATTTTAGTCATGAAGTAGAGATAGATTGCTCCAAAATATCACTTGACTTAAAGCAAAAAGCTATTTGTATCTGGTGGAAATACTCATAAGCAACTTCCTGTGACTTAAAACAATTTTTTTCTCTAACCCAGGTATGGTGACATGGTACCAAAAACCATAGCAGGAAAGATTTTTGGATCCATCTGCTCACTGAGTGGGGTCTTGGTCATTGCTCTGCCTGTTCCAGTGATTGTGTCCAACTTCAGCCGGATCTACCACCAGAATCAACGAGCAGACAAACGGAGAGCACAAAAGGTGTGTATTCAGCTCTGTGTAACCACCTAGCATCTCCCAGTCTCACAGTGAGCTTGAAAATCCATCACTGGCTGTTCAGTGTTCCAGATCCAGCCAATAGTTGTATCGGTCAGCACAAGCTAGGTCATATATGACACAGCAAAAGAACCCTAATATCTCAGTGGCTTAACACAACAAGGAATATTTCTCAATCACACTACAAGTCAATTACAGATCCAGTAATGGAAACTCCATCTTGACAGTGTACTTCTGCAATGATTCAAACAGAAGTAAAAGCACATGATGAATCACAAACGGACTCCTAAAGCCTCCTGCTGGAAGTGGGCCAAGTCATTTCCATCTCAACAGGATTAGCCAAAGTAAGCCACTTAGGCACGTGTAACTTCAAAGTGGAAAAGGAAATACAATAGCACTGTACAACCAGAGGCAATAGAGGAAAAAATATGTAGAGAACAACAATAACAACAGTAGCAAAATCAAAGATGGGTTCTTGCGAATTTTGTTACAATTGGATTTTTAAATTCATTTCACCTCTGTCTGCTAGGGGTCAAGCAGTTACCAGCAAACAAGGGCTACTAAAGGACACCAAAATGTGCCTTGGTTATTTTATAGATTTGATACAGAAGGTAGGAAAAATCTGATCACTTGTAGCTGAGTTCTACACCTGGCCCAGCAGTTTACTGTTTCTCTGAACTTCACATAAGTTACTCAGACTCTTGAAGATGAGCATGGTGCATACTCATCTGCAAAGTGGGAAAAACAATACCGATCTCACAATAAGACTGAGATTATATTCAAATGTATATAAATCTATATAAGATTTTATAATATTAACAACTTCCAGTGGCTTACTAATGGCTTCCAATGTGTCAGAGGTTGATTTAATGTTTTTCAAAAAGCAATTTATAAAATTTTACAAGTATAGGAGTTAGTTACCCAAATTATTCCTATTATGTGGATGAGAATCTTAAAGTACCCCAAATTGAGAAATCCTAAAGCCATATACCTAATAAATCGGAGGACCATCATTCAATTTAATCCAAGCCAATCTGGCTCCCACATCCATACTCTTAGACACAATGGTAGACCACCTCTCAGAAATTGACTACATGTTAGAACCCCTCCCTTCCCCACTCTTTGTCAAAATAGTCATCTTGAGAACCAAATAGTCATGTTGTTGCTAACAAATAATTTTGCAAATCTCCTTTGTAATTTCCTTAGTGCTATAGTGCTAAATTTCCAGCATTCTTAACAAACACTATATCTTTGTCCTTTAAGGACAGATTCACTTCTTTCAATATCCAAAAACCATTTGTAACCATGACGAAAGTAGATGTGCAACCTAGGTAATGTGTGTAACTATCAAAGACCATGAGAGATTTTTGTGCAGTTTAGAACTGGATGTGTAGGTGATTCCAGAACAGGATTTTAAATATGCCTTTGAACAATGTCAGTCTCTTTAGTAAAGTATAAAATCTCATAAAGTGACTCCTTGGGTAGTTCAGGTTAATCAATATTGTCACATAGCATATTGTTCAGAGACCTTGTTCATGTCCATTGTCAGAGATCTTCTTCCTCTACAAATCATTCTTTAAACTTTATAGTTTGCTTTATAGGATCTCCCATCTTTTGACAAGTATTTAAACTTTAACTAATTATTGTATAACATAGTAATAAACAGTCTAGTTACTGTGAATAGATAGACCTGATAATCCAATGTACAGGGAACGTTAGAAAAGGTACCCTCTGGGCAATTGTAGTCTTATGCAGGGCACAATTTTGTCCAGAGGACATGGATGGAATTTCCACCAGGGCCTTTCATGCACCACAACCCTGCCTCTGCACACCCTTGAGAAATCCCTCTTCTGAGCACTCAAGTATGTTTTTACAAGGACAGAAATCTTATAAAAACCTGAGCTCCCCACTACCCATCAATCTCTATGTGAGAAATTGCTTCTTTAGTAAAAGAACTAACTATAAATAATTTTTTCAATCCCAATGAAAGCTACCTATATGAAAACTATAGAAACTACAAATCTGATTTTCAGATAAACCCATCTCCAAAATATTGGGTTGGCCAAAAAGCCCATTAAGTTTTCTTTTCTTTTTTTAAATATATTTTATTGATTATGCTATTACAGTCATCCCATTTCCCCCCTTTATTCCCCTCCACCCTGCACTCCCTCCCTCACCCACATAGTTCATGTGTCATAAGTTCTTTAGCTTCTACATTTCCCATACTATTCTTCCCCTCCCCCTCTCTATTTTCTACCTCCCGTCTATGCCACTTATTCTCTGTGCCTTTCCCCCTCTCTCCTCCTCCCACTCCCCTGTTGCTAACCCTCCATGTGATCTCTATTTCTGTGGTTCTGTTCCTGTTGCTTAGTTTCTTTTTGTTTTTGTTTTAGGTGTTGTGAGTTTGTTGTCATGTTTTTTTAATCTTCTTTTTCTTAGATAAGTCCCTTTAACATTTCATGTAAAGAGGGATTGGTGATGATGAACTCCTTTAACTTGACCTTATCTGAGAAGCACTCTATCTGCCCTTCCATTCTAAATGAAAGCTTTGCTGGATAGAGCAATCTTGGATGTAGGTCCTTGCCTTCCATGACTTGGAATACTTCTTTCCAGTCCCTTCTTGTCTGTAAGGTCTCTGAGAAGTCAGCTGACAGTCTGATGGGAACTCCTTTGTAGGTTACTCTCTCCTTGTCTCTTGATGCTTCTAGGATTCTCTCCTTCATTTTTACCTTGGCTAATGTAATTATGATGTGCCTTGGTGTGTTCCTTCTCAGGTCCAACTTCTTTGGGACTCTCTGAGCTTCCTGGACTTCTTGGAAGTCTATTTCCTTCCTGGAAGCAGTGCCTTGCTTCCAGAATGGGGAAGCTCTCCTTTGTTATTTGTTCAAATAAGTTTTCCACTGGTTGCTCTTCCTCTTCTCCTTCTGGTACCCCTATAATTAGGATGTTGGATTGTTTAAAGATGTCCTGAAGTTTCTTAAGCTTCTCCTCATTTTTTTGAACTCTTATTTCTTCATTCTTTTCTGTTTGTTTGTTTGTTTTCCTTCTGGTCCACTTCATTGATGTGAGACCCAGCTTTCATTCCATCACTATTGGTTCCCTAAGCATTTTTCTTCATTTCACTTAGTGTAGCCTTCATTTTTTCATCTAATTTGCGACCAAAATCAACCAATTCTGTGAGCATGCTGATCACCAGTGCTTTGAACTGTGCATCTGATAGGTGGACTATCTCTCAGTCACTTACATAAATTATTGCAAGGCTTTCCATCCTGTTTGAGCCATCCTTTTTTTCTTTTCCTTTGGTCCAGTCGTGCCTGTTACATACGAAGGGTGGAGACTTAGTTGTTTCACCAAGGCTGTTTCACTAGGGCACCCTCGTTGCTGGGTTGTGATGTTGTATATGGGGGCAAGGTCTGAGAGGGAACAACGGTGCTTGCTCCACTCTCCATGGGACCTCAGTCCCTTCCGCTGCTTCCCCAGAGCAAACTGGGCCCCTCTGGTGTCAATTCCCATGTGGGTGGGCTTGTGCACCCCGTGGGACTATCCAAGGACCTCTCCTGTGAGGCTGGGAGTCTCTCCCTGTGTCTCAACCCCCCCAGGTGTTTTCAGTCAGTGCCCCAAGGCTCTATTTCCCAGTGCTGTGATCCTGGGTGGTACACAGTGCCTTGCTTCACAATTGCGGCCTCGCTGGGTCTGCCGGTTGCCACCCCTCTGCCGGGGTCTGCCAGCTGCCGCTTGCGTGCTTAGGGTCCACCCACTGCAGTCTTGTGCACCCCGGATGCCTTACACGCGCAGTCCCAATGCTCTCTGCTCTCCGTGCGCCATGACCTGTGCCTGGCTGCCCGACTCCGCCACTCCTACTGGTCTGGATGAATGTGTCTATTTTAACTTCTTGGTTGTCTGACTTCCATTCAGATCAATTTTCTGTCAGTTCTGGTTGTTATTCTATTTCTAAATTGTTGTTGTCTCTGTCTTGGTTGTGTGAAGAGGCACAGTGTGTCTACCTATGTCTCCATCTTGGCCAGAAGTCTAGTTTTTTTCTGTAAAATAAAAGACATTTTTCATTTTCACCAATAACTTTATTGATTTGGATATTTTCAGTATGTGGCTATCTCCCATGTGGTAAAATGTTGATTGTTTTCAATTAATGTCTCAATTTGATTGCTACATACTTCAACTGGTCTACTTGACCATGGAGCATCATCCAGCAAGAAATCTCCAGCATGAAACTTCATAAACAACTTTTGACACATTCGATCAGTCACAGCATTTTCTCTATACACTGCACATTTTTTTTGTACTTCAGACATGTTTTTACCTTTCTTGAAATAATAAAGCATAATATGCCAAAAATGTTGCATATTTTCTTCCATCTTCAATAGTAAAATGATACACAAAAATTCACCAATTTTGCTGTGTGTTTTTTTTAATGCATGCCGACATGACAGCTGTCACAATATAATCTAACAAAATTGTTTCTAATGCAGTTAAAGACAACGAAGTGCTACTAGAGTTATCTTATGGAAAAAAAGCAGACAAAGTTTTTAGCCAACCCCATATATGAGGTCTGTCCATAAAAAGTCCAGCCATTATTAATATAACAAGAACAGTTTGGGCAACATAGATGTAACCTGACAGCTAAAAAGAATGGACTGGAATGCACATGTGTGAACAACGATGACTTCACTGTACTAATCAATGGAGACGGTAGATGCCATTGAGTGAGCATGTGTACTGTATGGCCATCACATTCAAAATGACTGAACAAGTAGAGCAATGAATCTGCATCAGATTTTGCATTAAGTTTGAAAATTCCTCCATGGAAACTATTCAGATGATTCAGAAGGCCACAGCTATGGACAACTGGTGATTGGCAGCTTCATCATGAAAACATACCCATTCATGCATCATGTCTTGTGTAGAGATTTTTGGAGAAACATTAAATCACCCATTTGACTTAGCCCCTCCCTCTTAGCGCAGATTTG